TTGGATTGTATATAAAAGTCTTTCTTCTGCTTAATTTTAGTCTAATTGATCATAAAGGTTTAAGTTATATACAAATATATTATAATAACATATTTTAACAGCGAAATAAAACTTTCGAAAATGTAGCTCATATTGCTTTACAGTACATGTACATGTAGCAATGTGATCTTCAAGAAAAAAGGATGCATGTATTCTTATGCTTATAGGCAAGCTCACCTCAGCTTGTTTTTGCTAATTTTATATAAGTCAGATAAAACTGTTTCATACAGATAAATAATGTCATTTATTAAAATGACGGTATAAATGTGAACAATTTAACAAACAAGAAGGGGATCAGATTCACAAGCTTTGATTAGCAGTCTGATCCCCCAAAACTGACTAGAAAAAAGTATCTGTAAGACAAGACAATCAAAACAACATATGAAAAAGTTAGCAAAAAGATGGCACATCAAAACAAAATAGGCACAAGATGTGACATGCATGTCACATCTTGTGCCTATTTTGTTTATGCAAGTCACATCCATGTTAGATGTGACATGCAGATCACATCCGTGCCATCCAACAAAAAGGGATTTATGCATAGAATGGTTTAGTAAATTCGTCAATAGGAAAAATTGTGCTTAGATATTCATCGTCTGTTTATGTAGTCAATGTCTACTAACAGTATAAGATTCATACCTATCTTCAAACATATTTAATGCTAATTGTGAGGCTAAAATTAACGCCCGGCATTATCAACCGTATTTCTCTATCATGCCGAGGAGCAAGTGTTACATGTCTACAGATGATACCTACTCCCCATGTCACCTGATCCCATCTCTAATCTGAATTTTTAGAGGTCGGTGTTTGCTCTTTTTCCGATGAGCATTCTTAAAATGGCCTTTTTGGTTTGATTACGATAGGTTGTCTCCAAATTTGACATGTAAGATATATTGTATTCATTTTCTTTAAAAAGTCTATATGCTTCTTTTGACTATACTAAAGTATCAGTGAAATGAACGTTTTCATTTTAAAGTTGATTTCAAAGTATGCACCACAGGCTTTTGTGTCCCGGATTTTCTCAGCTGTCTTCTCTCTCTACGCTGGTAATTTCCTGTTGCTTCTTTTTTTCTATTTTCAATAATTATTAAGATCTTATCAGTGCTGTTGGGAAACTTCACCAATACAGATTCACAAATCCTTAAAAACCATTCCAAATCTTAATTAGCATCGCGTCTTTGTCTCCTTCTTTCCAGAAGCGCGGGAATGAGATATCAGTATGTCTTGTCACGGACCCACAAGTTGCTTCAGAACGAAATATGAAAATCAATTAATCCTCTTTGATAAAAAATTATTTTAACCGACATGTATATATAATTTTCCCCCGTAAGACATTCATCAATTGCTAAACAGTGTATTATAGTAAAGTATGCTTGTAGATCGACTAAAATAAAGGCAGATATTGTTCGAAGTAGTAATTTAATGCTATTAAAAATTTCTGTAAAGATAGCGACATAATTCCCAACTTTATTATTTACAATCATTAGAATTCTTTATATAGCAATACTCGACAATGCTCCGTCCCAGCAGTAGAGCATCATTAAAATACTTTATAAGAAATGACGGCGATACCTTATCGATTTCATCTGCAGAAGATTAAGAATTTAACGGAGTGTTTGCTATGAGAAAGAAGAAAATTTTATTGCATTTGCTTTGTAGCGCTTTTTTCATCATCAACTGTTGGGCAATATCAATGTTTGCAGGCCATTCTTCATTCGTAAGAGGAAGTCAGCGGCTTAAAGATGATGAGAATTTTGATGTTTGTTCATTTACAGAGACGAAGCTTCATTATATAGGAAATTAAGGTTTATTAACATAGAGAAAAAATTAGTTGTGAAACTATTTGCTACGATACCAAAAAGAATTATGAGCTTTAGTATAATTGTTACCACATACTATAATTGACGGTAAGCATTCATATAGAATTTTTGTTTTTAAAAAAATGTTGACTCCTAATTTTACCCGAAACACTTTATAATAGAGATTACATCGCAAGTGGACATTTGTTCAAGAAATTTTACATGGATGTTAACACCATATAAGCCAAAAAAAATTCACAAGTGTTGTACTTCACAAAAAAGCAAAACAAATCTGCATTTATTTATATCTTGCGTATATTTAAGGATTTACGGTATAGTATGCTTTGCACTCCGTGATTAGATAGAACACAGAATAAAGGTACATGTATACGTTGGTCTTACATTACGATATATGACGAGAATAGGATGGTACCTCCACCGACCATACGTATTGAACGAACATAAATTCAAATATTTGAAACAAATAATTTACCTATCTATGTACCTATTTCCAAATGAATTGAAGATAGAGACAATTGAATCAAAGATATGTCTAAACGAATTTAAGATTTGTTCTAAATGAATTAAAGATTGGTCTAAATGAATAATTAAACCTTGGTTCAAATAAATTGCACCTATCTCTGATTATATTGACCTAATAGATCTTTAATTCAGTTAAAGATAAATTCAATTAGATTATACTTATCTTTAATTCATTTGAAAATAGGTACAATTGATGTTTGAAGATTGGTAAAATTCATTTGAAAATATAACATGTAGCAGGTACAATTGAAACAAATCCACAAAGGATTTGAAGATAGATACAATTCAATTATACCAAGGTTCAATTCGTTTATGTCTAAATAATTGAATATACGTTCAATTCATTTGCTCCTATCTTTAAATCAATGATTCCTATCATTAATTCATGGCATCTATACCTATCTTTACACCTCTTGTACCTTTCTTCAAATGAATTAAAGATAGGTATAATTGAATTGTAAATTATAAACCTTTATAAATTCATTAGAGATAGGTACAATTGGTTTGAAGATAGGTACAATTAATTGAAGGTTCAAATATCTTAATATTTTTGACGTCACATACGTACTGAGTATATGATCTTTATTATGATAAAATGTAGAAAAGCTGCTTTCTGTTACTCGAAGTTCACCATCTATGATTAAGGTTATATCTCTGGCAACTTTAATGTATCGTATTTAAGAAATAATTTCTGCAAACTTTCTTATATAGAAAAACCAAACTTAACTTTTGAAATTAGCGGAGAAGCAACACAAAATTGACGGTTTAAATATTTTAAATAAAATCTAATTTGGCGTCTCATACCTACATGATATCATCTTTATTATGTTAAAATGTAGGAAATCTCCCTTAAACAATATACCATCATCAGAACTGAGCAAACAAGGACCTCTAAAACATCATAAAAATACCTCCCTTGTGTTCTTTGTTGTAATGGCAAAAAAGAGTCGGAAATATGCCTAGTTATTAGATGAAAAACGCCAGTCAGCACTCAGTTTAAAGATATTGTGATTGCTGACAAGGTCATTGTAAAGAACTTGCGAAATGATAACTTTATACGAAACTGTTGATATTTTTATTTCATCAATTTTTTTGTCAATAAATTACCTTATTTTATAATTGCTTGCGTACCTACAGCATGCTCTTGTATATTTTATCAATTGGGAGATGCTTCTCCCGTATGAAGTTAATGAATTTTGATTGCTGACTCTTTGGCGATAGAAAGTTGAAGTCATTATCTTTATCATAACGTTTTGTTGTTAGTTTACAATCAACGTTCTTTTTCAGATATTTCCTTTCAGTCTGTGGTATCTTATTTCAAGCTCTCTGTGATGTGTCGAGGCAACATACAAATGGCATTACCAGATTTCCTAATTGATAATAGAGAGGTTGAGATTTCTAACGTGTACGGGTACGTGTACGTGTAATAAAATACTTACAAGTACACGTACACGTTAGGTGAGATATACGGTTGAGAATTATTACGTGTAGCTCTTTACGTGTAGCACGCACGTGTTAAAAATCATTCTAGCAAGGTTATTGTGACGTCATTTACGCAATATCATGACGTTTTTTCTCACAAAATGGAAGAAATAGCTGATTTAGCCTGTATAACGGGGGATGATGATTTGCTTTTGCTATCCACATGTCGTGAAGACCGTGAAAAAGGACCATATCTTCGTGTGGAAGATTTTACCGAAGATCAATTTATTTCATATTTTCGATTCAAAAGGGAAGACATACACCGTCTTTGTCTTGCTTTACAGATTCCATCTCACTTTATTTGTCCAAACGGCACCAGAACGTCTGGAACAGAAGGTTTGTTTATTTTACTACGTCGTCTAGCTTATCCAAATAGACTCGACGATATGGTGCCTTTATTTGGTCGTTCAAAGTCTGAAATTTCCTACATCGTTAACAAGGTTCTGAATTTCATATTTGAAAAACATGCATACAAGTTGAGGGAATTAGATCAAAACTTATTAAGTGAAATGAAATTACGAGAGTACGCTGAAGCTATTTCTGACATTGGTTCCCCTTTATCCCAGTGCTGGGGATTCATAGATGGTACAGTACGACCAATTTGCAGACCACTGAAGCACCAGAAAGTCGTCTATAGTGGCCATAAACGCGTACATGGACTTAAGTTCCAGTCTATCACAATTCCCAACGGATTGATTATTCACATGTACGGGCCTGTTGAAGCAAAACGCCATGATGCGGCCATGCTTAGAATGAGTGGATTAATGCCAATGTTAGAAGAAAATATGACTCTCCCCGACGGTACCATATTTTCCCTGTACGGTGACCCAGCATATCCTCTCAGGCCGCACTTGATGTCCCCCTTTCGTGGAGCAGTACTGACACAGCAGCAGATGGTTTTCAACAAACGCATGTCAAAATTACGCTCAAGTGTGGAATGGAGTTTTGGTAAAATTCTATCGTTATTTTCATTCGTCGACTACAGAAAGAACCAGAAGCTTTTTCTTCAACCAGTTGCGAAATACTACCTTGTGGCGGCGCTACTCACAAACTGCCATACTTGTTTATATGGAAGTGTCACAAGTGATTACTTTAGCCTGCAACCTCCAACTCTCGAGGAGTACCTGTCTTGAGAAATTAGCCAATGAAGTCAATGGAGAGCAAAAAAATGTCTGTAACTGAGAAATAAACTGTTATAATAAGATATTTATTTATTGTTTTATTTTTAGAGTAACACAAACATTTAGTCATTAAATAATATTAAATTCACTTTTTTAAACATTTTGCTAGAAGTTCCATCATCATTTGGTTGTGGCGCTTTTCATTTTCAAGTCTCTGTAACCTTTCAAGCCTTTCTATTTCAAACCTATCCCTCTCAAGTTTTAGCTCTTCTTTCTTTAATGCAATTTCTTCTTTCTTGGTTGCCATTTCGGCTTCCGCCTTGTCCTTTAAGTAGTTGACAACAGCAGAACCTTTTTTCGGCATTTTTCTGAGGTCTTCGTCTGAAATAAGTTTTGATTTCAATTAATAACTAGAGGTACTGTGAGCAATGAGCTCAATAAATGATACCCCCGCCTCCAATATAGTTATAACTGATGACAAAGTCCCATGTTTTGCCATGGCCGGGAAACCCAAAATATTTGTCAGATCAAAAAGTAAATTAGAAGGTGCACAATGGCAATATGTAATAAAAATTCTGTGAAAGTTTCATTAAATTTCACTCAGTGGTATAAGAGGAGTTGCGGATAAGAGATGGGTACCCTAAAGCGTAATAGACGGACGGACGGAATTAACAAGCTAAGCTGGTAATGGTCCTAATATACATGTAGTAATTAATGGACGGTATTATGGTTGCTTTCGTTGTGTAGAACGTAATTTCAATTTTATAATGAAAAAATAACATGAAAAATTACGTGCCTAATTTAACACCTTAAAAATCTCCTTGACTGCGTTTTCTTTGTTTCAAAATACAACTCCGAATGTGCTATATACATGTAGATTCATTATATTGAGAAATTTAGTCATCTTATACTTGTATAACAAAACTTGATAATTTTGTGTGAAAGACTTTCATTTATTAATTATATCCTTTACTTCATGTAGGATAATTTAATTTTTCTTGGGGGGGGGGGGGGGGCGTTTCCGCTGTTCATGTATTTTCTGCTGTAGATTTTTGAGATAAACAAATATTCACTGAAGAAAAAACAATTATAACGACTAATTGTTAAATAAGTTACAATACAAAAAAACAAAGAACAACCTTAAGTCTAAATGGATAAAAAAGCTAAAACGGAGACGTTGGTTATAATTCACATTTTTAGATTTCGACTTTTTTTTATTCAAGGTTTATTCTCCAAATAAAAGGGGGCACTAATACAAATATCAAAATAAACTTTATTAAGACTTTATAATTGATTACCGCTTGTTGTAGGTGTTAAGTTCTCAAGGGCCCGTTTTCGAATATCTTTCCCAATGTTTTCTTCCTTTTCCGCTTTTGTTTTCAAGGTCTTCTTCTTCTGTTCCTCCTCATCAAATAAATCTATCGCTTCATCCATGAGATTTTCTTTTTCCCCATACTCTTCATCTACTCCAGACCTGCATACGAAAATTATTCAAAAAGTTATTTTAAAAAATCAAATTTCAATGTAAACGAGTTTGACTGTAAAAGGAAAGGATTAATTTAAGTTGTAATAACTTCTTTCCGAAAACTGTATACAGTGTATATTATTTATCGTGTACTAAACGAGTTTTGCTGCATATTAAAATTATTTTTCGTGTACAAATGATGATGTATGAAATTGAAATAAAGTTTAATATAAATTAAATAAATGCATTAGCCAATTGATTTCTATTTTGATGAAACCTTTTAAAATATAATTATGTCAATTTAACATACTTTTTAAGGGAACTCTTATTGTGTTTACGTCGTTGTTCAATAAGTAAAAGGGTTCTTTCACGAACCCGTCTAGTATCAACATCCATTGGCAGCTTACTGGCTATTTCGGCCCATTTTGATTTTTCTTCAAATGGATTTTTGGAGAGGACTTCTCTGTGTAAATTGAACAGTATATGAAATACTTGGAATAATAATCCTGCAAATGTCATGAAATCGAATTTAACAAGTCGATTTTCAGTTTGTTTTACTTTTGAAAAAGTGTCTGATTCTTACCTTAGCAGTTTGATGTCATTTTGATCGGAAAATCGGACCTGCTTTTTCCTGTCCATTGACAGACCGTAGGGTTATCTTGATCGATCTGATTAAAAGGAAAAGAATATTGTATTATGTGCAGCAGCACTGACTTCGAGCATGAGTGATAGTTACCTGGGTATATGTATTTTGATTCGTTTATGTTTACTTCTTTTTAAAATAAATATTTATTTAAAACAAAATGGGGAATATTGTGCTCCGGGTCATAAAACTTGGATATGACTTTTGATCTCATTCTCACTTTTCCACTAATCTCATTCTTCACTCTTTCTGTAGAACTAAAGGGAGTTCGCATACATGTAGTGTTAGATATATTTTACCCATCAATTTTACCGATTTTTAAATTTAAAAAAAAAACAACAGCATTACACCTATATTAATACTTTATAATATTTTATTGTGTTATCATTTTTACTTAATGAAAAAATCGATAAAATTCATTCAATTTCTTTGATAGCTATATGAACTCATGCGGTAAAAGTGAAACTGTGATCAAAAGTGAGCGTATCTAAATTGTGTGTGACAAAGGAGCCTGGCTGAATTATGTATCGGTATAACAACTGCATATTTTGATTAAAAACATCCGGAGGCATCCCAATGCTTACAAAAGAAAAGTTTTGTATATATAACGTTCAACGACAATAATGTGATGTAAATATTTCTTGGGAGATGACGTGACACATGCAACGTACACCAGGCCGTTTATAAGGTCTGGTAACACGAATCCTGTGCTTGTCGAGATCTACTTTTTTAATGTGTGCAAATGCAAATGCTCCGATACCATAAAGTACAAAAATATGTATATACCTCGTATTCAGAAATAAATATTTCAGGTTGTAACAAGGAAAATGTGTAGACACACAATGCGCACTTCATTCCGTCAAAGTCTTAACCCCCCCCCCCCCCTTGAAAATGACTACCATATCACTTAAGACACATATACACACATTTACACTAGGCTGAAGTACAAAATCAATAAATTTACAATTTTGAAGGCGCAAATAGATGATAACCTTTTGCTTTCAAGGCGCACGATCTAATTAAAAATTTACATTGAATCCACAGATAGATCAGTGATACTTTAATGTTTATGTTTTGATATCAGCGCTGTTTTCTTCAAAATCAGATATAAAACATTCCCAAAATACACTAGCTATGATGAATTTGTAAATTTAATGCCTTTGTCATTCAAGAATTGTTTAAATTCGTAAGGAAAATCTACAAGTTTGTACTTACGTGTAGATGCCGCTTTACAAGTACTGGCGAACGTGTAGAAAGCAAACGAACTCGACAATTGATGACGTAATACACAATATTTTAGGGGAATCACCTACTACAAGTACACGTACACGTACACGTTAAAAATCTCAACCTCTCTAATATGTCGTCAATATATCTACATGAATTGTTAAAGGCAACAAATTTCTTCTTTTCATGCATATTTTGCTTAAGTATCATGAATAAACGAAAAAGTTCTGCTTATAAAAGGGCGCAATTGGTATCCATGCATAAATTCTTTTATTCTGTCAAATGATTCGGAATGCAGAAACAATTTTTAAACTGATACTGAATACTGATAAATAAATTTCTCCTAAATAAGTTAATTAAAATTAAACAGGAAACGAACAGCAATCGAGCTTAAAAGTCCAACAAAGTGAAAAATTTAAACAGAGAGCATAGTATTCTCGAAATTGTAAGGTAATTATCACGACCTTATATGCAAATAAACCTCTTTTAATAACTTATATAATATTAACTGGTAAAAATCATACGAATTGTTAGACCATCGAATTTTTAAATATATTTGACAAAGTCTTCATCGATTTTTTCCTACGAAAATATAGTTGCTCATGGGTTTGACCGGACAGGCAGTGGTTATTTCTTGTGGTCAATACTTTTTCTTTGTCGACTCTTGTATTGTTTTCTAGATTGAAAAAAAATATCAACGTTCGTTATATGTTTATCTTTAATTACCTATGGAAAAGGCATATTAATATAGGGAGAAACCAGTCTTGTACAATTACTGACTTATAATTATATGTTTTATCATATGTTTAATTAATCTAATAATCGAGACTACAAGAGGAGGAAATCGATAACGAAACATTGCTTATGTCAGAAAAAAAACAAGTGTTTGCAACTCAAATATGTACAAATCTTTATCCCATGTTTACCCCTTTATCACGTGGAAATGACTCTGTGGATATTTTTATGATATCCCACAGTTAAGTTTGTGACGTCACAATGGATTTTGCGTTAGCGTGATGAAGTAAAATAAAGTGGCGTCCTATATATAAAAACAGTGTTAAACCATAGACCTAAAGCGAAGGGTTCGCTTTAGGTCTATGTTGTGAAGTATTAAATAAGGAATAAAAAGAATCTCCCATAATTTGTAGTTGCATATGACATTTATCCAACTTGTGTGTTTTTATTCACTCGCCAAGGCTCGGGGATAAAAAAAACACAGAACTCGTTGGATAAAATTCATATCCAACAACAATTCATGGGAGATCCTATATATATATCTTATTAACGCCCTCGGGTCGCTCAAGTGCAAATAATTTAATGCGAAAAATATGGAGACATTATCTTTCTCTATGTTTTATGTACAAACTGACAAGTTACTTAAAATTATGCATTTGCTATAAAATATTGATAATGTCCCTAAAGTGTTAATAGAAGAGAGGATTTCTTTTTCTGACAATATAACACTGCTGAGTCCCGAGGAGCTAAGAAGTATTAATCTAAAGATTGGAAATCCGAGTTTTCCCCAGAAACCATTTAGTTTTGATAAATTTATCGCCAAATGTAAGAAGGACTGTAGATTAAAGTGAAGCTAAAATAATTTCGATAAAAATTTCAAAAGAGAAGTGATTTTTTACTAAAACAGCTCTTAACATAACACGTGTTAGTCGTTTGACTATCGAAATACACACATTTGGTATAAAATATAGTTTTACAATGTTCACAGATTATTCATTACAAAGAGCAATCATGTTTTAATTAACAATGCAGTTAAAATCGATGTGGATCTTGATTATAGTAGATAAATCTATTGAAAATGAGGTAATTTTAATTTCTTGCTAAGCAATATAATATGACGTCAAACATTGTGACATATTCTTACAAAATTATATCCTAGCACAACCTCTGAACCAGAATTTTCAAGTATATAATGCTAGAATTGTTTCTGAAAATTATAACACGTGTCATATTTTTAATCGAAGAATGTGCTATGTTTAAATTCTATGTATACGTAGAAGCATAGACCTAAAGCAGGTCTATGGCAGAAGGTACTCAATTACACGCGTTTTTCTCTAAAATTCAAGAACAATGCATTTAATTAAGCCTATTATCCATTAACGAGACTCTCTGAAAAGGCTGTTGTCGTAAATGAAAGCATTGAGACCCTATCTCATACTGGTGTTTAACATTGGACACAAATTTTTGTTGATATAATGGAAATGTAAATGGAATTGACTCTTTTATGTATTAAGAAAACCTTGTTCATTAATGAAAACAACTTACGTATACCCTCACTTCCTAAAGAAAACTCCGTTATATTGTTGTTATGCTTGTCCGCCCGTTCGTCTGTCATACTTTTTGTTCCCCCCAAACTGCTGTATTTGGATTGATGGTGCCTGTACATTTACAATAAGTTTTACAATATTTTAACATTTATCCTGGTTGTGATATAGGGTGAAAACAAAGATTGTTTGCCTCTGCCGACTCTGGTCAAGAGAAAGGTGGGGAATTTTTTCTCAGGTATCTCAACATGAGTGCTGAATTTTTAAATTTTATAAAAACTGGATGCATGAATTATTATAACTTGATAAAGTCGTTAACAGGATGAGAAAGTTCCGGAATAAATATGTACCTAAGGCTTTTTTAAAGTGAGACCGTTTTTCAATATTTTTAAACAAATTACACTGAAAAAATAATTTATATCAATCAGAGGCCCAATAGCAAGTCCTGTAGTGCGTCTAAAAACAATAGAATTTATATCTAAGGACATTACGTGTGTTAATGCATGAAACAAAATCTGCAAATATTTTCAATTTTTCATTGATTTTCATTTAGCTTTTGTGCCATGGCTAGAAATCTTGCTATACTTTGACAGCCTCTGGAACTGCGAGTGGCAGATCCTTACGTGCCGACTCCTATTCTGTACAAGCCATTCTAAAAGGAAATTAATGTCCCGCTGAGAGGAATGTATTAACTCACATAGAAATTTTCGACCTGTGATGTTACATTTTTTTCTGTTGTTCATCTCTTTGAGTAGTAGGGGACCTATTAGGGATCTGAGTAGAAGCTAGGTATTTAAGGCTTTGAATAGTAAGAGATGTCGGTATTTGGATAGTAGGGATTTTCGGCATTTGCTTTATAACGTACTTAACGGCAATTTGAGTAGAGTTCAGGAAAGAAACATTATAATCCAGCAGAAGTTTATGACCTCTTGTGTTGACATTTTATATTTATTTCATATTGATCTGACTTCATCGGAAATTTTCCATACATTGTAATTACCGAAGAGAAGGAGATCAACACATCTATATCAGTAAAGGATTACCGTCATAAGAATTAATAGAGTACACTTAATTAACTTAAAACACCCCCACTTTAGCTGTAGTCTTATGTAAGCTTACGTCAGACTGATTTTACAGCACATCCTTATAGTATTAAATATATTCTCAGTAAATAATCAGAGCTTATAGTCGAATGAAGTAAAAATCTTTCCGTTTATTAATTACCTTTTTTCCTATTTGTGTTTTGTTATAAATAATGAACAGAACAGTACGATAATTCAGAATGATCTTCATTTAGATGTCGATTTGTGTATTGAACTATCAATGAATTGTTAAATGAAGCCACCGTGGGCTCCGAATCACGTTACCTGAGTGGCTTCGTTATAATGAAGTGTGAACCGTTACTTTAACAACCAAATATTGGCAACTAACAAAAGGATTTAGCAAAAGTTACAAGATCAATACAGTGTTTTTCTTTTTTTTTTTTTAAGTAGATATCTATCTCATTTTTAAGCAAATCATCTCTTTTTGTTAAATAATTAAATTTTTTTCTTTTGATTTCTTTTGAAAATATTAAATACTAATGCATGTGATTTAAAACCATTTATTCTGGAAAAGAATGTTAAACAGTTAGAAAAAAACCCGTCTCTGTAAAGGAAAAAAGGCTCATTCATAAGGTTGTTTTATCATTCATATGACCCATTTGTTCGATACTTTTTCGGATCTCCTCGTTAAAGTCTTTTTCTATGATCCCCTTCACTTCATCACAAGGACACGTGCGAGTCTATGTGTGTTTTATGCGTAATCATATTCGTGGTGGAAGCTGCAGTCACTGAGTGTCCATCTCTCTCAGTCCTTTCTTTGGCCACAACAATGACCACTCCGCTCTGTCGCCCAGTACGACACAAATGAGACATTTTGACACAACATCCTTTGCATAAAATCTTCATAAATTCATTTTTGAAGTTTTCATTCAACCATCCGTAGAGAACAGGATTTGTGCAGGCTGAACTTAAGACAAGCATGTGACATATCACATATACTAGGTTGATGTTTATTGATTCCAGAAAGAGTGCTAATCGAAAATCACTGAGTATGTTGAAAATATTCAGAGGTAACCAACTTAACGCAAATATAATTCCAATAGAAGCCAGCAAAATATTCGTTCGCCTTTTCCTACGGGAGTTCCTTCTTTGTTTCTGCCTTTGAGTATTAGACCTTGCGTTTAATGCATTTTGCTGGTTTGCCATTCTGTATTTCAGTTTATTACAAATGCGAAGATGGGCTACCGTCACGATTACGATGGGCAAAATATACTGCACCACCATTGAAGCTACGGAATATGCACCTTTTTCTTCCTGTAACGAAGTGTCTTCAAAGCAGATACGAAAAGGAATATAAATATTCATATCCTTAAATGGCAAGTCTGTCTTGTGGATAGAAAATATAAGTAAAGGACTTGCTATGAGGAAAGAAATTATCCAGATTGAAAGTAAGGCCGCTACTGCACCGAGTTTCTTCATGCTGTCCTTGGTAGGGTATACAATAACTTGGAACCGATCGAGAGCAATTGCTGTTATGCTGATTGTGGAGACAAATACATTTGTTCCCTGGAACATGGGAACGAATTTGCACATGAATTCTCCTAGAGCCCATTGTGTTCGTAATAGTTTATACAAATTGATAGGCTGTGTAAATAGACAAAGTGTCAAATCTGAAATGGCCAGATTTATAATAAAGATGTTTCTGGGCGTTCGCATATGAGGATTTTTGGCGACCACATAGCATACCAGACCATTGCCAAGAGCTCCAAAAACAATTAGAACTGAGAAGCAGCAAATCAGAATGGA